TTTTGCAAGATTAAAGTTGTAAACCATCCAACGCGACAAGCAGGGAACCTTGCCCCGGATCGGACCACTGTAGACACCGTTGTGTTTCAATTGAACGCGTTGTGTAGTAAATAACACACCCCGCATAACACTTTTATTTACACAGAAAATAAATGTACAACGTACAGATCGTTTTACACGTTTCCCTTTTTTGTCGGGAGGCTGTTTCACAATGGATTAAACTCGTAACATAATTACCAGTTTGGTTAACAAACAATGAAAAAAAAAGAAAAAAAAAAAAACAATCGGACCGTTAAATTGATTGAACTTCAGCCAATTTTTCAGATTTTTTTTTCTGCATTTTACGTACAGTTAATATTTTCCACAATATCACGTGTTTTGATTGCCCATGGAGGGTTTCAGAGATGTCAAAATCTAAACGTACCTTGTTAAATTTGCTTCAAGCTAATTTGAAATGTGAACGACGGCAATTTTTCCTCGCCCTTTTGTGAAAGGTGTCTCTATTTCAATTGTTTGAACACACCGCTATACGAATTAGTATATTCACGTACCTGTGTATCAAGGTGTCACGAGGGTGGGAACGTCGCTCGAATGCATTCAGTGGAGTTAATGAGCGGTCAAAGTGGTCCTCGTTTAATGACTCTTTCGTGAACACGGCCCCGGCGATGACTGATCTAAACAAGGACAAAGATCCACGGGTGGTAGAACGTCCCTCGACGGGAGGTCTCTGACCATTTCGAGTCCGCTGCCTTCGAATAGAAATATATCCCATAGTCATCAACGGTTAACCGTCTTTAGTCGGCTTGTCGAACCCTACCTTCGTCATCCCGAACGATCGGCTTCGCCCATAATTAAGACGGTGAGCTGCAAAAACCTTTTAATTGTTCCTCATAATAGATTCGATCGCGTGATCGTCTGATTTCCCTCGAAATGCTCAGAAACTCTAATAGTTTAATAATAAAACAGGGAAACATAATTAACTATGAATGTGATTCCGATTCATAAGACTACGATAAGATCTTAGCGAGTGATGCAAAATTTTTTTAATTTCCTAAAATGATACGCGACTGTCTGCCAGGTTATAAACGAAATTTCTATTTCGAATATTTTTCTGAATGAAGCCTACGAGAATGACAGCGTAATTGTGTTCGTTCATACTGCTTGCCTTCGTCTCTGTGCGAATAGGGAGCTTCCATCTACACGAACATGGTAATTAGACTAAAAGGTTTCGATATTATATAAAGGGTGTCTGAGTCATCTATGGCTCAACTAGAGCGTCTCAAAAGTTGCACATCTAATTTTCACCTTTCTATCGAAAATAAAGTTACAGTTTGCAAAATAATCAAGAACTTTTTCAATTTTCTTTTTGTATGGGTTATTTGCAATTCTTTTGGATTATAAAAATATTTTGAGACACACTGTATGCAGCACGTTACATTTCGATATCTGGTTCGTTTCAAGGAACGAATGTCGAGTTATTAAATTGGCCGGAAGTGTATCGACGAGAAATGAAATTTTCGCGAGGGGTTATTAATAAAGAAAGAGAGAAGAGGATAATTGGAATGATGGATAAAAATATTCGTGCAATTGTACAACGATCGAATCGATACGAATGCATTTTCAAAATTCAATTATCGAATACCTTTCAACCATATCTCAAAGCGATCTTCCTCTTTACATCCAGCCAGTTCGAAAGATCCAACGAACCTAAGAAATTCCTAAAACGCGCGCAAACTCGCTTCAAAACTCTCCAAACGTTTCGTGCGCATGAAACTTTTCGGGCTTCTAAATATTTCAATCCGTTCAACCCGGAAACGATCTTCAAAGCGGTTCGAAATTTCACGAACTGCTTCGTTAACCGTTTATGAATACATAATGTTCCCGACATTTCGACTGGGACATTTTTCAGAACTTTTGATTGATATTCAACTTTCATTCAACTATTCGAATACCTTCCGGATTGTCTCGTTGACATACTTTTACTTCAGTAAAGCGCGATTTTTTACGTTTTCATAGGATGAACCAGTTTACGAGCATCGCGAAGCACCCTATTATTTTCATCCTTATCTGACACTTAAATATGATTGTTTTTGTTATGCTATCACGATCGGGTGCGCTTATTACAAATCTAGATTGGGTCAACACTGATCCATTCTCACGGCCAATAAAGATTTCCTAATAATTTTTCAAATTTTAATCATTTATTAACGGAAACAAAGCATTCAGCATTTACATGCATTTACGACAGCTCGTGCTTCAATTTCGCGTTTACTTAGCACGAACCTCTTTAGCAATACCAACGTGAGTTTCGTTTTACATTGAACGAGCAACGATCGTTCAAGAAACTTGGTCGATTCCATTTGAACAGCTTTCAAAGAAATCACAGCGTTTTAACGAGGTACCGATTGTATCGGGAAGCGCGTTTAACGTTTCCTTTCGGGGTTCTCGTATTTTTACCGAGAAACTTTACCTCGTAAAAAGGAAGCTGTAATCGAGAAAATTAAAAGACCGTTTCTATTTGGAACGCGGCGAATATCGGCTCGCCTTTTCGATAGCGTCTAACACGCACCGCGTGAACGCGAATGTATAAAAGCGAAGCAACGAAAGAAGCGAAGCAAAGCCGGTGAAACTGCTCTAATTATTACTTATTACCAGTCGAGAAGTAATTACATAGGCGAACCGAGGGCATAAAGGGGGAAATAAAAGTAGGAAGTACTTTACAACTCTTTCGAAAGTAGCTACCAGCCTGGACACGAAATGTTTAACTGCTTTTACGACCCGACGAGATTGCCAGGGAACGGTAAATTCTTACTTTTCCACGTTTCTATGTTTGTACAAGTTTTATCTTGCATTTTATTCCCCGATTTGTAAAAGCTAACGCGGTTTTAATTACTCGAACTTCGTTTGTTTCCCGGTGATAGGACAATCAACAAATTATAACTTTATTTATCACGTTACGTACGATACGTTGTTGCTGAAATATTAATAACACTCGACACCCTTTTTCTCCTTTTGCTTTGTAATTTATTTGGTTTAAATGTATTCGAGGTGCCAATTACTGATGACCAGCAGAGCGGTTAATGTGTCTAAGGAGAAGTTGCATTTTAATATACACGAGTTATATTTTCTACGTTTAAGGGAAAATCTCGAGCGCAACGAAGTTGCATAAATTACATCTACCGTGGGCTGTTCGCAATAACCAGATGAAAAAGTTCGATGAAACTGCAAACGAATGGGTACGGGAAATTTGAATAACGGGAAAATATAAAGCATGTGGGATGTCGAAATCTCTCGGTTCTCTATTGCTTTTTCGTTCGCCAGAGGGAAATTAGTAACTCGCGCCGTTCGTAGTCTGGTTTAATAATAATAATAATTGCTAAACGGGGTACAACTTTGATAGGGTTTATATAGAATTTTTAATAGGTCCAGTTACGTGGTAGCTGATGAACTTTGAAAATCCATGTAATATTAAAAAATCTGTACAGTAATGCAGCCGCATATTTTTTTCCCCTCTTCTATCGCATAACAGTGTGCAGTATTTTGTAATTAACCAAGTAGAACGTAATCGGAACAATACCAGGCTAAATTAATATTGATTCGATAAGCCGGGAAATCGACGGCTCGTCAATTTTTCGTTTCAATCTCGTCAAACAAACCAACCGTTCGAACGTGTATATATCCGGAGAATATTAATTTGTTTTTCACTGCTCAAACTGACTGTTATTTGCGTATCGACGATTTCAAACAAAATCCAAACAAATTCGATGTAACTGCTCCTTATAACTACGATAAAAATAATAACGCACAATACTACACGGATATAGTGCCCTCGGGCATTAAAAATGTTTTGAGATTTTTCAATAAAATCAAAGAAAAGGGATTATGAACGGCTTGTATTTTACAGTATTTAAATCCTTTTGTCAGTATCCTTCCATACTGACCGTTTTTTATTTATACTGACCATTCGCTATTTATGTACTAACCGTTTAGTATTTTTATATTGATCATTTTGATAATAAAATATTGACCGGAAGTTGATTTATATACTGACCGAAAATGGATTTAAATACTGACCATTTAATTTGTTGCTATTATGAACTGACCACTTCAGAATAACAGGTTCACACTTGTTGATAACGAGATATCGCATCAATTTTTGATAAATGTGACACAAGAGTCACGATTGATCATCTTTGGGAATTCATCTCGAAGGACACTTAATCACTAGCGATCGTTATTGTATACAAATTTAACATACCGTGCTATGTTTCCGTTCACTGTGGCAATCAACTTGTTAACAAATTACCCTTCTCCCCGAGACAGACTACATTGTTCAATAAATCATTAGATGAAGATTAACTCTATCACCGAAGAAGAGTTTCGTTATCACCATCGTTAATAATCAAGCAATTACTGCGGTGTTAGACAGTAATTGAAAGGAAAAGAATAATATTCCTCTTAATTGTTTCAATGAAGATTAATCGGGCGTTTCTCGATTGTACAACATTATCGCTATATAGTCTCAGGAATTATTCAACGAGCACTCAACGCTCCAGAATATTTCAACCTTTCATACAGTCAAATTGCTTCTGTCAGGCGATTACTTTTAAAAATGCAGCAAGCAACAAAACAACAGAAACGCGAAATCAAGTATTACGTATTACGATTAAAACAGATTAATACAGCCGGGCTTGTATCCGATTTCATTTCAAGTACTCGCTAGAGGGATGCCCAATATCCAGGGGAAATAAAGCGGATACACAGGGTGCACCGGAATTTTCAGCACTTGAAAACAATGAACAAAGTTCATAAAATCCTATATTCCGTTTAACCTTGTTTGCGAAATTCAGGGAACTTTGTGTTGTAATAATTCTTCTAGCGAACGAAATTGATATTACTTTTTCAATTCTGTTTAATAAAAATGCTTGGCTTCGTTGGGGATTCGCATCGATTCGATTAATATTATTAATATCAATATCATTTTTATTTATTTCACTTACCCTGTGAATATCTATGGTCCTCGTTTCTCAGCGAACCTGTCAAATATTCCTTTGTGTAACCAAGGTACAAATTTCAGCTCCTTATCTCCCTTAAATTATTGTTTCGGCGATTGCATCTCGATGCCAGAAGCGGGTCCAATATTCTCGGACACACCCTGTAGAAACACGTGAAAACGTATTAAACACCGTGGCCAGACGATTAATAATGGAGAATCGAGAGGGCAGCGGTGGGAGCCGTCGTTTCTCATTAGCAGTAATCCCCTCCCCTTCGGCTAACGAGAAGCACAATGATAACGATTTGACTGGGCGTGCGATTAATAGAATATTTGATCACGCGCGTACATACGGCCCTCTGTATGCGAGCCGGCAGAAATACAGGTGAATTTACTGCCGCTTGTTAGAGACACCCGTTAGAGGGGAGAGATTAATGCGAGCAATTGCAGGCTTGTGTTAATTGATACAGCCTAATCACCATCAGACGCGGCGGCGGCGATGGTCATGCAAACTATAGCGAGCTATAATAATACAAGAGGAGAGAGAGGCTTGATAATGCTTCGTTCACCATTGACTCGATGTTCAATTATTCGTTTACCATCGGATTAGCAGATTTCGAGAACGTTGCGTTGGTGCACAGGTAAGCAGAGCTTATTCGGGCTCTCGGTCATGTGCAGCAAAATTCATGTAAACGTTGAAGATACTATATCGTTTTCAACTATTTCCTTTTTATTGAAACACGACTCTTTCGTTTGATGGAGATTATCGACGACAACCAGAAACCGCGTAACAATTTTCATGCATTCGAGGAGTGATTATGTAGGGCGAGGTCACAACCCTAATTAGAATAGAATATGCTTCTATTTTGATATGCTGAGCAAACCCGTCTAACCAGATGGTCGATGTTCTATAATGTTATGGGTTATCCGGTTAACCTGTTACCTCCTGGACTACATCAGTACTGTGAAACTCAATACCTTCGTGTACGAGATCTTCATCCTAATTATGAACGATTTTACCAAGAGGAAAGGTACAACTTTCGGTCGATTTCGATGACAGTTAAAGTGTTAAAGTTTCCTACGGTTGTATCGTCGAAAATCGTCCACATTGAGTGTAATCGAATACGATATCTTTGTCGTTTTACTATATCAAAGAAGAAGGACGAAACAGCATTGGTAGGCGTTAACGTCAAAGAAGAAAGAAGTTGATACGATAACGTCAACAGGGCGCACATTAAGATGCAAGAGACAAGGTACGGAAACGTAACGAGATATCGATCTACCTGTTTCTATGTGGATAACCTGCGTGTACTGTTTATCACGGTGTCGTTCGTAATGGTGTTCACATTCCTTTTGTGTGGTCGCCCGATTCGAGGCTCGATTAATACACAGATAAAGCACAATTTGTCTGTCAGTGCGCCTTTAAACCGGGTCTGCATTAATAAAGGGCAGGTAATCAAAGTTCCTTTCGGCCCTGTTACCGTTCCATTGCCTGACGAAGAGGACTTATCGCTTTGAACACGCTCATTGTCGAACAGTGACTGGCCATAATCGAGGAGAAAGTCAGCGGGTGATCGACGGCGATTCTGTGTAGCCGTTGTACAAGGGCACACGTACATTTACCTATCATTTCATTAATCTCCGTCGACGGTTGCCGATTCGACAATAATGATGTTTTGAGCAGAACGTCTAATTGTTACCGTACAACCTTCCATCGGCACATTGTTCGGACCTTCTTGCAGACATTACGGTCGTTTTATTTGTCGAACTATTATAATTATCCTTGTACGATATATTTTCATTGTGAGCTGATAAAATCATGTATAAAGTTAATAAAAAGTATCATTAGATTGATAGAACTTGGACTTGGAATCTTTTTCCTCGGTCTTCCTTGTACTATGCTACCCTATGGATACCAATAAGGATTCGTCCGGAAGGTCGGCGACGCACGGTTCCTTGAAACTTAACAGTGCCTCCGGTTGTCACTCTGACCTAATTCCAGTGTTGGAGGATTAACTTCAAAAGCTCCCTTTTCAAGCGACATACTTTCCCGACGTAAGCTCTCAATACGTGTGTACAGTAAAAAGTTGGCGCTCATGCAAATGCATATATGCATTATGCCAACGTCGCATTTGCTTAGAAGTTTCTGGCTCGCGATCACCAGCTGCCATAAACACGCGCAATTAACAACGGCTACGTTTCAAAGGCTCAGAATTTTTCGGATCACGAATTGTCGCAGTGCGGTCGTTTGCGAATACAATTCCTAATAACGTGCGTCATATAACATAATCGAAAGTGTTCGTTAAGCGAGTCACGATGAATTTAAATACACAGGCGAACGTAGCTGACCCGATTAAATTTGGGTCAAGTATGAAATCCTCGTGAATATTTTTCAGAATATTGCAATTTCGTACGCTTTTAACGAACCTGGAAACACCGCCACATTCTTCTCCGTCTTTCTTAGCTGATCAGTCGTGTCGCTCGAATCGAATTAAATGCTTTAAAACGCGTCTATCATGTCCATCGTTGACAAACACGTCGATGAACAAGGAGCAAGATACGCTTCGACGAATATAAAGTGGTTATAACTCACGCTGTTATAAAGAATAAAATATGAGGACGAAGAAGGAAGAGCAGATGGTGGATGAGAAACTTTTTTAATGAGAAGAACGAAGCCGCGGGTCGGGTCTTTCAATTAGGGTGCAGTTAAATATTAAAAACAGGACTAGGATTTTCTTATCAACGATGTAAACGCGTTTGGAGATCCGGATCGTTTCAGAAAAGTTCGACATTGTTTTCCTATCCTCTTGTTGCTTTTAACTATGCCTTTATATAAATATGTAGTCTCTACTATGGTTTTATGCAAACAGTTAGTACGTTGCAAACTATGTTTTTTCTGCAAACTTTTAGCAACGTATCGTTTTCACAACCGTTCAAACAAATCGACGGAGTAGCGATGATCAAATACTCGATTCGCGAGCATCAAACAAACAGATAACATACGTTGCGTTCGCGAAATAAAACGCCGTGGAAATTAGTAACCGAGCTGGTGGAATAACGGTTTCGATGGTACAATGTAAACGCAGCCGAAGAAATTCGTACCGTTGAACACGGGCCCGCTAATGAGTCTCAAATAAATAATTAACAGCCACGTTTGCGCATTATACACACGCAAGAGGGTACGAGCCATCGGGACATCGACGTTTTAATTTTTAATTTGCATTCTCGCCCCCTCATTACCGGAAAATTGACACTGACGAAGTCCTTAATTATCCTTCGGCCTTTTAATTACCGGCACACCTGCGGAACACCGAAGGATTCGATCGATCCACCGCGTGCTCGTGCTAGCCACAAGGATTTCCAGCGTTCGCTTTTAATAATCCGTCTTCGAGGTAATAATTTAGAAGCAATCGAGGACACCGGGGGATCTCGATCAAACGAGCTTGTCACGGAGATGAAACGATGCTGGATTATGAATATCTCATGTCAAGATTTAAATGGAAACGCCCAATCTTAAGATTCGAAGTTCAATATTGACGCGTAATAACTTTGACAATAACTATTTCTAAATTTCTGGAATGACAGATTCCATCGAAAGTCAAAATTTCGCACTGGCTGCAAAATCGAAGATTTTACCATACGCTGTAATCCAGTCGATGCCTGAAAGCAGAAGATTGCAGAGAAATTTGAAAAAAAAAAAAAAAAAAAAGAAAAAAGAGACTTGGCATCGAATCGATGACAACAGGTGCGGAAGGAACCGAAAGGAAGACAGGTGAGGACGTATCAGAATCGAATGGGATCGGTAATCGATGACGGAAGCGAGAGTGACTACGGGAGGAAGGTTAGAATCGCGTGGGCTGTAGACGAGAAGGGTGCGTCGAGTGGAGTGGCGAGATTACAAGGCAATAGCAGGACGTGCAATCACGAGGACACACGTGAAGGATCGACATCGTGCCACGCAGCCGGTTCTCCTTCATTCGGCCCTCCCGATAATAATTAGACGCTGTCCGCTGAACTGGCTGTCCGCCTAGCTCCTCTCTGACATCCCTCTGGCGTCCTTTGCCCTCGAGCGGTATGTACATATGCGCCTCCACCACGAGCACGTCTGCCTTTCGTAGATTGTGTACGATCGCCGCACGATTTCGTCGGTCAACGTTATAATCAATGGGACTTGCGGAAAAAGGATTGATAGGTAGCAGCGGATACTCGACGGATCCTTTTACCAGCGTGGGCGAGCTTCGGGCCAGGAGTCGACTGAAAATCTCCCTCGAGGATTGAAACGACTGTTCCGATAGTCCTTCGACAAAGGGAATCTGGATTTTTTTCTTAATAAATTCCGTTTGTCGTAAGGGACTGATTATCTTTTCAGATAGGTCAAAGCTACCGGAGCAGCGTAAAGGGAAAAACAGAGAAGTTGCGTTATCGTCCGAGGTTGAAACAAAACGTTTGTACGAAATCGTGGGAAAAATTCATATTTTAAAGCTAAATAAATAAATAAATATTTGCCAGAGTTGCATAAACGTGTATTACGTGGAATGTTGAAAATATCAACCACCAAGAGAACGTTTATGCCAAATTTCAGTAATTTTCCTATTTCTATGATATCATTAACCGGACACAAGTGTTTTGTGCGCGTTTCTGGTAGTGATTGTAGACATCATAGAGTTCGACTGGTTTTCAATCTTATCAGCATCGAAACGTCACTCTTCATTACACATAGTACACTGAACTTTATTTCAGCCCGTTTCGATCGAAGACAAATGGCCACTCGACACGACCGGACAAGAATATAGATAACCACTTTGTCATTTACGAAATAGGCTAAACTGTCACGGCCAACGTGCCGTCGCTAAATCTGTATACTGTGATATCAGTCAACGGAAGGTATACGCGCGTGTGCGTGGGTGTCCACGTAATCGTGTCAATATTTCATCGAGTGACGGTACACGCGGAAGACAATTATTGCACGTGCAGTTTTTTGAATGTGAATACGATGGCTGTCACAGGAAGCCATCCACGATCATCCTAAATTCCTGATCTCTCGAACAAAACAATTGCGCAAAGAAGAAAAGCCGCGATGTGCATACGTTAAGTTCTCCCAGAATTAAAAGAATCTAACTCACCTTCGACGCGATCCCAATAAATCGCTCC